AGCCACATATGAGAAAGAAAGAGCAAACTCCACTCCCTTCTAGCACTGTTGAGGTTATCTAGTTTGGTAATGAAACAACTGCAAGAAAATAACCAAGGTCAGAGAATACCAAAGTCCCCATGTGTTGGAATGTTTGAAGAGAGTGGAATACCAAAAACAAGGAGTCTAAATTCAGTTATTTATTTTTATTTATTATGACAATTGGCTGCCCATCTCAGGTCCAACAATTCTGGGCAGCTTACAACATAAATTGATAATATGGCTTGATTGGAATTCAGTGGAAGAGATTGCATCGAAATGGAACTTTGGGGAAAACCAGGAAGTTTCAAACAACTTTTATCATTGTTTTGGATTCGAATGAGAAACTATTGAGGAGGCCAAGAGGACAAATTGCTAAAATTATTCAGCTGTAAAAGAATCAGGCCATGAATCAGGTTTTCCATCTCAGAACTGGCCAAACTGCCTCCTAAACTGGAAATTACAATACCCCTACCATGCAATGGATGGATTCATAGTGAGTTTATCTTCCACACAAGCCCTCCAGTAACCACTTGAAGATATAAACAGTTGATATTTTGAAAATAAAAGGGAGAAATAGCCAATGAAGAGGCAGGAGAAGCCAGATGAAAAAACAATTTCTACTTGGTCCATGTTGAACTTTAGGTGGTGTGATAATACTGAAATTGAGATCCCTGCAAGGGACTCTGACAAAGAGCTACAGACAAAGTATGCACCATGGTGTTGTTGGCATAAATTTGATACTGAAATGGAAAAGTTGAAATTCAAGAACCAAGGGGGTGAGTATAAAGAGTGAAAGAGTGAATGAAATCCTAAGGAGCACCAACAGATAACAAAGAAGGAATAGAAATTCAAATCAGCAAAAAAGTAGATAAGACGGAAATCAGGAAAGCACTAGCACCAAGGGTGAGTTATTTTGTAGCTATTTTTGACCTTGGGTTGGTTATTATTATTATTATTATTATTATTATTATTATTATTATTATTATT